GGCTGGGGGAGTGGGCGGGGTCAGCGGAGGTCCCCCCCACAGTCCCTTCTTCCCTCCTCCAGCCCCTGGACCCCTTACTCTCTGGCACCGGAGCCCTGGTGCTGAAAGCGGCCTGGCCGGCTGTGTGTTTCAGCACCAGGGCTAGAGGCCAACCATAGATTCATAGATGTTAGGGTTGGAAGGGACCTCAATAGATCATCGAGTCCGACCCCCTGCATAGGCAGGAAAGAGGGCTGGGTCTATGTCCCCAGCCAGATGCCCATCTAACCTCCTCTTGAAGACCTCCAGGTTAGGGGAGAGCACCACCTCCTTGGGAGCCCATTCCAGATTTTGGCCACTCTAACTGTGAAGAAGTTCCTCCTAATGTCCAGTCTAAATTTGCTCTCTGCTAGCTTGTGGCCATTATTTCTTGTGCCCCCCAGGGGCGCCTTGGTGAGTAGAGCCTCACCAATTCCCTTCTGCACCCCCATGATGAATTTATAGGCAGCCACAAGGTCGCCTCTCAACCTTCTCTTGCGGAGGCTGAAGATGTCCAGGTGCCGTAGTCTCTCCTCGTAGGGCTTGGCCTCCAAGCCCTTAACCATACAAGTGGCCCTTCTCTGGACCCTCTCCAGGTTATCCACATCCCTCTTGAAGTGCGGTGCCCAAAACTGCATGCAGTACTCCAACTGCGGTCTGACCAGCGCCCGATAGAGGGGAAGTATCACATCCTTGGTTCTGTTCGTCATGCATCTGCTGATGCACGATAAAGTGCAGTTAGCTTTTATGATGACATCATCATACTGATGACTCATATTCATCTTGGAGTCCACTAGGACTCCAAGATCCCTTTTTGCTTCCGTGCTACCAAGCAGGTCATTTCCTAGGCAGTAGGTGTGCTGGACATTTTTCCTCCCTAGGTGCAGCACTTTGCATTTCTCCTTGTTGAACTGCATTCTATTGTTTTTGGCAGCCAGAGCGTCATATGGAGGCTGGGTCCTCCATAGAGCCTCAGGGAATGGTCAGGGACCATATCCTGCCCCACTTTTTTTATACTTCACTTTTTTTTAGACCCCTGGATATCCAGGGGTCACATTTTCTCCCCGAGCTGCATTTTTTTGTTCCCGCACATGCCTGTTGCCCCGCCTCAAAGGGGTTTGAGGAGGGGCAAGAGGCACGTGCTGGGTTGTGTGGACGCGCCTTGAGAGTCTAAAGGGTATAATCTAGTCAGCAGTGGCTGGAAGAGATGCAAGAAAAGAACCTAAGAGGAGGATGGATATTAGTAGATTTAAGTTAAGTTCAAAGCTACTCTGTACATAACCTCCTTGATGAGCATTTAATACAAGTTTAAATGCTCTTTGGGCCTGGACACACTATATATTTACACTAGTGTAAAGCATATTATTTTTGAAAATTGATGTAATGGACAGTGGGATCTGGAACTTAAGGGCAGCTTGAATATCAGTGAGGGCTTATAATAGTCTGCTTGCCTATTGCATATAGCCATTCTAGGATAGCTGTGGACATATGACACTTATACCACTGCATCTCACCCTGAGTTTCTCAGGGTAATTCTTTACCGCATTCCAGTAAGTTCATTGGCGCTGGCCTGTATGTCAGATATCTGTTTGGTGTTTACACTAGCATGAAGGCTGATTATACCAGTGCAAAGATATCAGACATCCAAGCCCATAAAGTCAGCTAGCAAAGAGGCCAAATTAAATAACTATGTGTAGGGTTAAGCACAGATAGTCAAAAAGCCTGAAGCTAAATCAATTCAGTCTTTGCAGCTTAGTTTAAACTGCACAGATTACATTGAAACAGAAGTGAACAGACATTTCCTTTTGATTCAGATAATACAGCCACATGCTTGCAGTGGCTCAGGCTGGAAGCCAGGGGTCACTAAAGCACAACTCTCTGGCTGTGTGTTCACTTCCTCTTCCTGCTGCTCAGAGGTCGGTGGGATTTGCATTCCAGAATTACAGCAGCAGGACTCTGCAGGGTTGCTCATCACTTCCTTTTTCTGCTTCCAGGTGCCCCTGGGATTTGTAGTCCACAGTTGCAGCCGGCATTAAGTTTGAATGGGGAAAGGGGTGTTTAACTCCCCTCCCTGGCCCCAGACCCAGGCCAGGGTTTGCTGGGGAGGGGGGCAATCCCTCCCCTATAGACTGGGGTGCATCCCTAGCTGGGCTTGCCCCCCACCCACTTGTCAGCCAGCCTTCACTGCTACAACTAGGGAGAGGAGGGGTGAGGCCAGCCTTCCTCTCTGGAGCAGACAGCACAGCCCAATGCGGGGCTGGAAAGTATATTGGGGGACTGTGATTTAACTTGAACCAGGATGATACTACATTTAATCAGGTTTATCTTAAACCAGTTTCAGCCATTTTGAAACTGGTTTATGTGCACTGAGCTCCTTTTCTGTTACAGGGTTAAACCAGCTTCTGATCAGTTAAACCAGTTTATATGTACCTTCTGTCCTTATCCTAGCAGAGTGAAACTTGCATTTAATTGGTTTTGAGTTTCACAGTGTGTAATGGTCTCAAAGGGGGAGCAAGTGAGCAAGATTCAGAAATGATGTATAATTGCTGCTCCTTTCACTAATGTAAATTCTCTTATGCCCATTGTACTTAATGCATGAGGTTGTTTAAAATGGGGTAGCCTATATGCAGAAGAACTGGAAGAAGTAGTAAGCTGGATTTACTCTAGACTTAACCTGGAATTTGGCCTGCAGTATGGAAGTTTTCCTTTTTTTTTTAAATTAAAAATTCGAATTTCATTCTGTTTTTTCTAGTGAAAATGAAACCAGTCAAATGTTATTGCAGATATTTCCTATTGTGTAAATACAGGGATGGGATGTAATTTTTGGATTTCCTTGTATAGTGACATTTTAACAATAGTAACATCTTTATAATCACTGATAAAAAACAAAGAAACAAACAAAAAAGCAAAATAAACAGAAGCCCTCCATTCTTGATATTTATACCATACTTATACCTGGAGATGCTAGTGATCCCCACTTAAACATTTTGTTGTTGTTGTTGTTGTTGCTAAACTGTACTTTTCAACACTAAATCTTTTCCTAATTGCCATTCTTTACAAACATCTTCGTTTTTGTTGCTTTTTTTTTTTTTTTTTTACCTATTCCGTAGGCCTGTGCGAGTCGGCAGCGATCTGATCTGGCTTCGGATCCAGTCGCTTCGGATGGCTGCGATCCGATCGGGAGCTCCGGACCAGGTTTCCGCCTCGATCTGGCCGAAGCGGCTCCGAAGCTTTGGAGCTGCCTCGGAGATCCGGCCGTAGGGTATAAGGGAGAATCAATGAAATATCTATAACTTTGTTGTTTTTTGTCCAATTTTGATGAATCTTGCAGGGATGGTAGCCTCTGCTGAGAGCATGAAACCTACCAAGTTTCAAGAAGATCGGTTTGGGGATTTGGGGGGAACTGCACCCCAAATTCTTGAAAGCCAAACTCATGTCAGGGCTGTGTGTTACACCACAGGGGGGTCAAAACTGCAGGGCTGGTAGCTCTTACTGAGGCCACAAAGCCTGCCAAGTTTCAAGGAGATAGGTGCAGAGGTTTGGGGGGAACTGCACCTCAAGCTGTGGACAAGCAAAACTTGTGACATGGGTGACACTATGTACGTTAAGGCACAGCGGGGTGACAGCTGCAGGGATGGTGGCCCCTGCTGCGACGCCTGCCAGCTGTGAAGGGTATCGGTGCAGAGGGGTTCTGGGGCCCTGCACCCCTAGCTGCTGACAGGCAAAACTTGTGCCAAGACTGTGTCTGTCTTGCGGCCCTTGATTGTCTGTATTGAGTGTTTCCTCTCCTTAGCCTGGTTTTGTAGGTGCTAATTGATGCTCGTTAAGTCGTTATGTAGTAGCTAGGTCCTGCGTATTGAGCTGGTCCCTGAGTCCCTGGTCCCTGAGTGAATCATGATTGATTGATTGATTGGTAACTGGGAACACAGTAGCTTAGCAGCCAGGCCTGCAGTAGTGTCTCCCGTCCCCGCCCCAAGACCGACACAGTCAGACAGTCCCACAGCACCCATGGCACCAGTTTTGCTTGTCCACAGCTTGTGGGGCAGTTCCCCCCAAACCCCTGCACCGATCTTCATGAAACTTGGCAGGCTTTGTGGCCTCAGCAAGAGCTACCAGCCCTGCAGTTTTTCACCCCACTATGTTGTAACGCCTAGATGTGACATGAGTTTTCCTTTCAAGAATTTGGGGTACAGTTCCTCCCAAACCCCTGCACTGATCTTCTTGGCAGGCTTCATTCTCTCTGCAGGGTCTACCATCCCTGAAAATTTCATCCAAATCGGACATAAAACAACAAAGTTATATATATTTTATTGTTTCCCCATTATACCCTATGACCGGATCTCCGAGGCGGCTCTGAACCACTTCGGGAAAAAGAACGAGGCAGCGCTTCCACACGGATGTGCTGCTTCGGACCCCAAAGAGTTCGAAGCTTCTCCGGATCCGAAGCTCTGTCTGAAGCCTGGCACAGCACTACTATTCCGTATGGCTCTTGCTCAGTTCACCAGTAAGTTCTCATTGTTTCCTCACTGGATTGCTCCATAAACATTTCTAAAAACAGATCCCTTTCATCCGTGTTTGTTTAAATGAATTGATGTCCAATATATGTATTTATCTGCCATCTACATAGCAACATATCATGTGAAGATAAACATTAATTTTGCTCCCTATTAGGTGCTATTTGTGTCAGTGACCTTTTTAGGAGAAACCTGGAACTCTGACTTCTTTCTGCTCCCTGCTATGCACCATCTATTCATTTAACATTGACATTTTCGCCAATCTCTTTTACAGTCTTTCCACTTCTGATGTCAGAGCACTTTCTTTGCCAGTTTGCTGTCTGAAAGGACATTTTTACTTCCATTCTTCTTTTTTACTTCTCCATATTAAAAAAAAAAAATCTTTAAATTCTTTGCTTGCTCACTTGTGATTTTTGCCTTTCTCTGTAGTTGTTGCCTTAATTTATTTAGCATATTTTGGCTATCTGGAAAGCAATAATATGGTTGTACAAGATAAAATATTTGTAAATTAAAAGATTATGGAAGTATTAAAAATAAATGTTCATTCACCTTTCAATTGATTGTAGATACTTTCTATTAGCTTTGCAGGTATTTTAGATAGATGAACACTTACCTTCCTAGCATTAAATATAATATCCCTCTGAGAATATACATGAATCAGATCTGATGAGTAATAAGGTTCCATTTTACATCATTGCTTTTCTATCAGCACTATTCAGGTTGGCATTAATAGAAGTTATTTATATCTTAGAATAACAGTGAAGAGGCAATGTCAACTAAGCTTAAGAACATCAGCTTACACTATAACTCAGGGTACTTATTGGAAGGCCACTTAACAAGTTTTGGTGAGCTATCAAGGGCCGCACGCAAAATCTTTAAAAAGATATAATTTAATAAATTATAGATAAAAACAAAGTATATGCTAAAAATCAAACATCTACTATAACATATTTTAATTTTATTTTAAAAAATTGTTCCGATTTATATATTTTTTTGAGCACTGTATGTAGAGGTGATTGCATAATAGCTCAAAATAAAGACTTACTCTTGTATATTCTGTGTGTGGAGGAGTGTGGGAGGTGTGTGTATGGGGAGATGGGTGTACATGTGTGTGGAGGTGATGTCCACAGTCTAGATCTTGGGCGCTAGCTAGAAGGTGGGGCGCAGGAGGACGCGGGCAGGGGGCATGTGCAGCAGAGCTCACCTGGGTGGCACAAGTGTAGGTACAGGTGCAGGTTTGGTCTGCCCCCCTCCCCACCCCCTGCATCAGGCCTATGGCTGCCCCTGCAGTGCTCCGCATATGGCCAACCCCTGCTCGTTCCCATCTGGGGGAGGCTGTGCTGCACTCCCACCCTGTACTTGCTGGATGGTCTTGGCCCTGGACAGCATGTGCAGCTTCTTGATGGGGTTGCTTATGGTGTGGCTGCAGCTGCCCCCAGCAATTCCTCCTCCTTCTCCTCTTCCTGCCCTTGCTGTGCTGCTTTAGGCAGGGGGGGGAGCTTCAGCCAGGTGGCTCCTGCCCCAGCATGTGGGGCTCTAGCTCCTGGCTGCCTTTCACCCTCTCAGCTGCCCACAGGTGGTTGCTCATTGCACCAGGTGGGCAGAGTGGGTGGAAGGCAGGCTGGGAGCTCGAAGTGGAGCCCCGCCCCTGCTCAGGCAAGAGCTGCCTAGCTACAGCTTTGCCCCTGCCTGGAGTGGCATAGCAGGGGCAGGAGGAGGAGCCACCAGAGGTGGGGGCAGCTGAGCAGTACCTAGGCAGCTGCACCAGGAGTAGCACCGCCAGGAAACTGTGTGCACTGGGTGGGGCTGGGGCCAGGGCTGGCAGGCGTGGGTGGGAGCACAGTGCAGGATGCCCGGGGCAGGAATGGGTGGGACTTGGCCCCATCTGGTGTGCCATGGGAGCATCCAGGGGCCGGATCCAATCAGTTGGTGGGCTGAATGCTGCCCATGGGTCATATTTTACCCACCCCTGCTCTTGTTCTGAATTGGCTTGATAGCATTATCAGGAGAATGCAGCACCCAAACTCTATTTCATTTCTTAAAAAAATTGAGTGAAATCTGTCCCCCTTTTTTTTCTTTCAAGATTCAAGCATGATAAATTAGATAGTAGCTACGGAGGGGAAGAGAGGAGGGTGGAAGCAAAGAGCAAAGCAAAGGTGTCTGTGTTACCTTTCAAGCAGCCTTCTGTATCTCCCTTTTGCATCAGAAGTTCAGGTGGAGACTCAGGCAAAAATGGGAGAGTGACAAGCTGCACTAATGCTGCAATTCCAGTGAGCGTTGTCAGTAATGGCCACAAGGATTCAGTTCCTAGAAGTTCCCTGGAGAATACATGTTGACGTAAGAACTAAAATGTCCTTTCCAAACAAGCAAAACCTGAAGAATGGCACTTTGTGCCCTAAAGCTTGTTCAACATCTCTTCCCAACTATAGAGTTGGTCCAGTAAAAGATATCATCAAAATAACCGATCCATGCTTTTTATATGTTTCCAGCACCGTCACATCTATAACAACACTCCAACCATCCCAAATGATTCAGAAAGAAGTGAGTTTTATCCAATATTCTTTGCTGGATAAACAGGAAGGCCAAATTAAACTGGAAGGGGTGGTAATGAATATAATAATAGAAAACCTAGACATTTAAATGAAAATAGATACCTTACTCTTACCTTAGTCCTGTCATTTGCCCTAAGAATTTGCCCATGGTTACAAAGACAGTGAAACTGGTGTTTATATATCCACGCAGCTGCTTAGGGGAAATTTCTCCCAGGAACTGGCCCTGTAAACAGCAACCCAGGCCTTGAAACAGGGGAAGAGACAACGTTTGTTTCACATAGAAGAATCACATAGAATTTACTATATATGCAGGATTGATTTATAATCTGGGCCCTTACAATCTTGTAGTATTTTTTCTGGGCAGCTTCTGTTTAGTATTTTTAGTACATTTAATACTTTGGGTTCTTTTCTTGGTTATTTGGTTCTTCTCTGGGATATTGTAAGGGTAATAACAGTTCAAGGACTTTCTCTGTAGCTATCTATGTATATCTTGATCAGGGGTGGGGGTAGCTGTTTTCCCTGCAGTTGAACCTGAAAATGTTTCCTCCATTTATATGTAGGGTCAATTTATAATCTGAAAACTATAATAGTCCTATGACCCCATATTTAAATGAATGTTAAAAGAAAGAAGATCAAAAGCTTTTTATTGTAAATTGTATTACCTAATTCCTTTGAAGTTCATAGTATGTCAAAGTGTTTTCTCTACATCTGGAATATTATATGCTAAATGTTCTTAAACAGTCAACTGTATTTCTTCTTTCTCTTTCTTAATTACTTTATTCCATAACGTATGGATATCAGTTGCCTCCTGACCCCCTATAAAAATGTAGTTAACTCATTCATTTTGTCACAGGGGGATATCGATCCTGTCATATGGTTTAGTTTTGCAAATCTAGGGCATCTCACCTATTGTGTATATATATAGAAGTTATACACAGCCTACCTGAATTAAAACCACAAAGGAAACGTCCAATCAAAATCATCTCAAAGGATTTTGCCATCTTACTGAAGCCCATGAGAATTGCAGCTGCTATCATGGTCAGGTTATTGTATATTAGGCATTTCTTTCTGTAACAGCACACAAGAGACTTGTATGAAATAGGGAACACCACCTCTGCTGCTTTCTTATAGTGTCCTCTTTTTATCCCTGAATATACTGAAAAATGATGTCTTGACACTGAATCCAAAATTTGCAAACGAGACCTAGTAGTTAGTAGGCTGTTTTTATATTTCTTAAATTGTGACCAAACTTAGTGTGATAGAAGCTTAAAGTGAATTTTCATTGTTTTCTAGGAGTTACTCAAGTGGTAAAGTATGGGCTGCAGTACAAGTTTTGCAAGAAAATTTCTTCCAAGATACACTTCCCAACAGATTAGATTTACCCGCTTGTGAATCTGTTCATCTGGTGGAAACTCTTTAGACTTTAGTTTTGAGATTTTAGTTTCAGCAAGGCGAGCCTGCACTATCCCTGCGTACCCATCCATGCTGTACTCAACAGCTCTTTCTGATCACAGCTGATGAAGGACCTCATTTAAAGGTTGCTTATTTTCTTCTCAACTGCCCTGCCTCCATCTTTTGTGCACACTTCAGTTAAACAACCTGTATCCTCTACTAGCATTTGAATGTGTCAGTCTTCCTTATTTCAAAAAAAAAGATTCTGAGCACTGGATCCTGAGATGGGTTTTGCCAGGATTCTTGATGACTTATGATCTTCATACTTGCTTCAATCATTTCATGTTTCATCTCCATTTATGTTGGTGTTGGTCAGCAAAAGGCAGCAGTCCTAGAATTATACTGCTTTGATGACCTGTCATTCTTTTTTATCTTTTTTTGCCTTTCATTCTTTTGTGGCTCCTCCAGCTCCATTTCTTATGCCTTCTCAGAGGACAAAGAACAATGTCAGCAGCTTCAGCATGGCAGGCTGACTTCATTCCTTATGCCAGTGTCAGTCCATAGTTTCATAGTTTCATAGTTTCAGGGTTGGAAGGGACCTAATAGATCTTCTAGCCCGACCCCCCGCCAGGGCGGGAGAACAACCCAAAAAAAACCACAACAAACCCTAAAAACAAAAACGGGACTCAAATGAGTCCAGCCAGGTAAGTATCCAGCCTCTTCTTAAAGATCCCCAGGGTAGGGGCCAGCACCACCTCCCTTGGAAGTTGGTTCCAGATCCTAGCCGCCCTGACTGTGAAGTAGTTTTTTCGGATGTCCAGTCTGTACCTCCTCTCCATCAACTTGTGCCCATTACTCCTTGTTATGCCAGCGGGGGCTAGGGGAAACAGCGTCTCCCCCAAACCCTTCTGGTTCCCCCTAGTGAGTATATAGACGGTCACCAGGTCCCCGCTCAGCCTTCTCTTGTGGAGGCTGAATAGGTTCAAGTCCCGCAGTCTCTCACTGTAGGGTCTGCCCTGTTGTCCCCGGATCATGCGGGTGGCCCTCCTCTGGACCCTCTCCATGTTGTCCACATCCCTCCTGAAATGGGGCGCACAGAACTGGACACAATACTCCAGCTGCGGCCTGACCAGCGTCGCATAGAGGGGGAGGATCACCTCCCTGGCTCTACTCGAGATGCACCTGTGGATGCACGACAAGGTCCGGTTAGCCCTGCCAACCATGACCTCGCATTGTCGGCCCATGTTCATCTTGGAGTCAATAATGACACCAAGATCCCTTTCCGCCTCCGTGCTCTCAAGTAGGGAGCTCCCCATCGTATAAGTGTGCTGCTGGTTCCTACTACCCAAGTGCAGCACCCTGCACTTGTCCGTATTGAAACGCATCCTGTTCCTGTCTGCCCACCCCTGTAACCTATCCAGATCCTTCTGCAATCTCTCTCTCCCTGCTAGCGTGCTCACCTCCCCCCAAATTTTGGTGTCATCAGCGAATTTAAACAGGTTGCTCTCCACCCCAACATCAAGATCGCTGATGAAGAAATTGAACAGCGCAGGCCCCAGGACCGAGCCCTGGGGGACTCCACTACCCACCTCCCCCCAAGGGCATATGATAGGAATAATTTAGGGGTTTTGTCTATTGTAACTGATACAGTGAGACTTGTAATATTGCTTTTTTGGTTTAAAAATTAAGATAGAAATTGGTCAAAATAATTGTTTCCTCTCCCTCCAAAATATCAACTTGTTGTCACTACCCCAATCTAAAATACATTTTGAGTAAAACAAAACACCTGTTTTTGGGCAGGGGGAAGATGGAGGTAATTTTATTGGTTTTTGTGTTTCCAATGCAGCGCAAAATATTGAAGAAAGCCCTTTCCAGGAAGTAGTCAAAATGTTTTACAAAGCATTTATATATTCTATTCCTCCTTTCCTTCATTGAATCTTCCTTAATTCTATGTATTTTATTGATACCCCAACTTCCCCTTTCTCTGTCACTTTTCTGAAATAACAAAGCTATCCATCTCATTTATAACTAAAATCTGGATATCATCTTCAGCTTAGCTCCCCCTATCTCATATCTCAACTCAGAATATGCCTAAATCTTGGCGATGATATGTATACAGCATTTCTAAGACTTAGATTTTCCTTCTCATCCACTAAGGTGAAGTGGGCCTGGATGTGAGATTTGCATTGCAGTTTGATTCCCTCATTTCTCTTCCTCCTCTTTATTCACAATCTGCATTTAAAATAATGCAAATAATGCATAATAAAATGTCCCTTTGACTCCATCTAAAATGCTGCTTCAGTAGTAATATTTCTTCCTCAAGTTGCTTGAATCACATCACACTTAAAACTTTTATGGATCCTTTAGAATCGTAGAGAAGTAGGAACCGAAGGAACCTCCATAGATCATCTAGTCCAGTGGCTACCAACCAGTGGATCTCGATCCACCGGTAGATCTCGGAGCCTCTTGAGATAGATCTTAGAGCCTCTTGGAGTTGATCTAAGGCTGGGGTGGGGGGGCTGAGTGCCTATGTTCATGCACTCATGTGCCCCAGCCCAGCAGGTCAGTCCATCAGGGTGGGAAGGGGCAGGGGCTAGATTGTGGCCCCTGTGTGAGGGATAGTGTAGCAGAAGCAGGAGCAGGGTAAGTTGAGTGAGGCCCTGGCTGGGTGGGACTTACCTGCTGGGGAGGTGCACCCAAATAAATTTTACTCCCTCTGCCTCAATCTGAGCCCCCCTCCTTCCCTTCCCACAGACTTACCTGCTGGGTGGAGGGAGGGGAGTGGTGGCAGCAGCACATGTTAGATCTTGGGTTGCTTTTAAATGCCAAAGGTAATCTCCTACTTAAAAAGGTTGGAGACCACTAATTTATTCAACCCCCTGCCTGAGGCAATATTATCCCAGTCCAAATCCATTGTCTAACCTATTAGCAAAATCTTCACAGTCAACCCTGAGACAATCGCAAGACTGCAACCTAACTAGCCACAGGTAAAGCAGAGGGAACACAGCAACCAACATCCTGCTGTTAGAAAAGGTTGTTAAAATATACTCAAGGGGAGTGTCCAGAGGAGTGGGGACATGCACTGTGCAGCACTGAGCACCTGTCTACAGCTCTGTGCATGACACACACCACAGATGCAGGCATTCCCCACACTACTACATCACTGTTCAGGGTGAGAGGGGTTTGACCCTGGGAGATCCAGGAACTGCCTTCTCTATCCCGCCTGTACAGCCTATAGCCCCTAATGTTAACTGCCCAGTCATGGGACGAGTCCCACCACGTCTCTGTTAAACGTCTCTGTCCAAAAAAGAAGATTGGGTAATTTTCCCTTGTGGCGTTTAATTACCTTGGGGGCATGACTCCTCTCTTTACAGAAGGACTACCAAATCTGACTTGTAGAAATCCCATGAATTCTTTGCCCCCTCAAGAATTCATTAAAATTCAACAATGGAAGGAAACATGCTACTGGAAGTTTAATATCCCCCAGGGGAAAAATGTCATGTGGCCCATACTGTCAATGAGAGAAGAAAAGATTTTAAGTAGATACTTTCTCAAATTTACACATAGTCATCCTTAACCTGGGAGGTCTGTTTTTCTTATTTTTAGGATGGTGATGCAGGCACATTTTAAATGGTTTCTAAACACAATACTGAACTTTTGCCTCAGAAGTCATCTTCCTAAAATCTTCAAATACGGGAAATCTAAGCAAAAATCCTGTCCCATAAGTTTGATGTAAATATATGTATTAGGCTTTATTTGAAATCAGCTAAAGCCCTGGAGTTCCACATAACCTCTGTTTCATGTCATACTGGCTCAGTAGCTCTGCTTTGTCAGAGAACCAAGTGCACCTAACTGGTTGAATCTCTTGCTGCTATATCTGGACTATCCTGTAGCTGCAAAGTCAGGTTGAATCAAGTTTGACACAAGGTAAATTTGCTGTGCTATCATTCTAGTAGCAAGCAAGCTATCAATGATATCCAAAAAGTATTTAGAGCAGCTATGTTTGTATGGGGCGTGGGTGGCTACTTCAAGCACTGTTGCTTAGATTGCATTGCCAGAGAAGTGTCAAGGTTAAATAAGATTATATAGCCTCTTTGTGAGTAAAGTAGGATCCATAAAAGTCTTCTGCCTTCTAGAATTTTTTATTTTTTGGGATGTCTTTTTTTTTTTTTCTTTTTGCAGCTTATTTATATTTTGAGTCCTGTGTATTTTATCTCTGCATATGCATTTTTTTAAAACTAGAAAGCTCACAAGAATCATCTTATCTTCCATCTCATAAAAATCTGTTAATCTTCAAAGCAGTGTACACAGTGAATATATTTCAATTTTTAAAAATTTCTTGTTCTGTTTTCCACTGTAAAAAGGGCAGAAGTCCAGAACAATAGATAGTTCCTGTGTTACACTGCAGGGATAGATCTTTACAATTTGTGAGACTGGACTCTTCCCATTTTGGTGTTTGAAAAGTTACAGGCCCAAAAGTGGGTGACTGCCTATGATGTGTAAATAATTTCCCCTTGGTCATTTCATGTGTACAAATTAAGATTATCAAATAAAGGCAAGTATAATAAACTCAGTTGAGTTATATAGAAACTAAGGATCCCTCTGTATATTTTTTATTAATGGACAATAATGTTCTTGCCAATACATTTAGGATGTTCTCCATTTTTTAAAATTATCCTTGTAACCCTTTGGGTCAGGGAGGATTAATCAGGAGCCCCTTTAGAGCAAGCAAGTCAGTGCCTTTCTTGAGTTGACTGATATGATGGAAAGTCAAACAACACAAAGTATTCCCTTCAAGAAGCTGACTGACCTGCTGTTGCACCACTAAGATTAATCAAAATCTAGTTTCCTGTATGAGTGTACAGAGCACAAGAACTAAGTTCACAACCTCTCTCATTTTTAATTTACTTATCATCAAAGACATTAATCAGTATAATGGATTGAACACATGGACAGAGAGAACTGTCTTTGAAATATATAAAATGAAGTTAATGGGGTAGATAGGATGAAATTATGGCTGCGTATCTAGGAACATTGACTTTTCTTCCCTTCCATAAGGACTGTTTTCTCCAAATCACCCAGGATTTTCTATCCTGTCATATAGAACAGTTCTTAAAATGCTTTTTACTAGATACAGACTTTCCATATTTTGTGGACAGGGATCTTGAACTGATGGTTCCCAAGAGCCCCCCAATGCTAATAGCAGAGACAATGGATGACCACAGTAATGTGAGGCTCTGCTCATCAATGAAAGAGTGGTATCGTTCCTGCCAGGTCTCATTGATGAATTTCTTGATGTGCTGAAGAGAAAAAAAATGGTGGAGAGAGATTTTCACTACCAGTTACTGATCCTTGGGTATTTTCCTTATATTTTAAATTTCCTAGTAAATATTATAGCCTACTTTGAACCAATTGCACTCATACTCTCAATAGTCTTCCTTAGGGAAATTGGTAGGGGATATATAGTTACATATTAAGAATAGCCAAATCATGTGTCTGCATATTTGAGTAAAAGCTTTTTGCAGCTAATCTCCTGTTCTTTTAAAACTGCTTGTTGTCCTGTATTGATTTTGCTTAAATACCCTCCCACAGGGCTGTACAAACTGCTCAGGACATAATAAGGACAGGAAGAATCAGGAACAGAATTTTAAGTTGCCTTGAAGACTGTCCCAAAGCAGGACTTGTCAGGGAACACCCAGGATTCAGGCAGTCAGGCTTGACTAGGGAGTCACAAGCCAGGGGATCAAGAGCAGACAAGGCTAGGAACCAGGAGTGGAGGTCCAGACTGGTGGAGCAACAAACCCAGGGAGTCAGGAGCTGGCAAATCAGGAAATGAAGACTGAGGTTAGAATAAGGTGCCAGGCAGAGAGGCATCTGTCCTCTTGAGTAGCTTGCTGCACACTGGGGCTAACTAGCTTGAATGCTGGCCTGACTCCCAAATATAGTCTTAATGTGAGCTGTGCCATGGAGGATGCTGTCTTACCACAGAAGCATAGGTGATCATAGAAATTTGGAAGCCAAATGAGAAGCTTCCACCAATTCCCAGTACACAAATCATTTGAAACAGTTTCTGGTACAGAACCTAGAATATAGAAAACAGATTTGTGATATAGCCTTTATGGCCTTGCTATCTTATCTTTAAGTGTTTGGAATTGCTACAAATAAATAATGAGTTTCTTATTGTTGGAGGATTTAAATAAGGATGTATTCCTTGAAATGGTAAAATTAATGCCTTAAAGTTTCTTTAAATTAGAGGGATATTTCCCACTTTCCCTGTAAGTTTTTTCCTTATGTTTATGTCTGTCAGGAGCAGGTATTCAGGGCTTGAAAGTATTTACTTTTGTTTCTTGATATTACTTTTGCAAATACTTTGACCTGAATAATAAAATAACATTCTATGCTGTCTACATGTCCCTGAAAATATGATAATAGAATTTAGAAATTAGGTTGCTAAAGGCAACAAATATAAGTTACCATATTTGCTTTCTTGAGTGTTTGGGGACGAAACCAGAGGTTATTGATAACTGAATTATTGAGTTTTATGGGGGCACGCAAATGAGCAGATCTTCATTCATTTTCTCCCTCTTCCCTACCACCATGCTTGATTGTTAAATATTGACCAGATATACAAGGCAAATACATAAATAATAGAGAACTCACCATATCTGAGAGAGAACTGCTCGTCTTTGACTTAATTTTTTTCTTGGTTCTGTCTGCTTGCTTTGTGGTAGATCTCTTTCGGATTAGTAATTTGGTTTCACTTGTTCTTTTCTGAAGGATGTAATCCAGTAACTGAAATAAGCAAGCCTGTAGGCTGGGACCAATAAAAGTTAAATTTGACTTTGTACTGTTTGCTTTGCAAAAGTTTTTATCCAGTTTGCTGGATAAGGTTTAGAACAGTTAACATTTTCCCATATGTTTGGTTTGCCACTGGGTCACACTAGGACATATCTTATCATGTAACGCATCTTTCCACCAATGAAAATGTTTAGAAAGTGTGTTTATAAGATAGAAAATACAGAATCAGTTTTATGCCTTTTGGATGAAATAAGAGTCTCCTGACTGTTTACAATGAAAGGGCCTAGCAAATGTTTATGGAAGTATTTTGGAAATTTTGCATTCACCCTGGAATCCTAGCTTTTATGGGGAAAGATAGTTGTAATTAAGATCTGCATACAATATAAAGAATGATATTTGCTTATGACTATTAGAAAAAAAATCATCTATCTAAATGAAAGTTAAAAATGGATCCTGGGAAAATACAAAATAAATATTTAAACTGTTGCTTTATTATTTATCTTATATTACAGAGTTACACACTAGGGCTGTGCGAAACTGCACCATTCTGTTTCCACTTGTGTTTCGACGGAACAGCGCTCCATTTTGAATTTTGTTTCAATTTGAAATAGCTATTCCGTTCTGTTCTGTCCCGTCGAAACAGTTTTGCCATTTCGACCCTGTTTCGATGTTTTGCCCTTAGGATATAATGGAGAAGGCCTAAAAAGCCTATAACTTTGTCATTTCTGGCCTGATGTAGATGAAATATGCAGGAATGGTATCCCCTTCTGAGGGCACGAAGCCTGCCAAGTTTCAAGGAGCTAGGTGCAGGGGTTCAGGGAAACTTCACCCCAAAGTCTTGAAAGCAAAACTTGTGTCACATGTGTATGTTAAGCCACAGTGAGGTCAAAACTGCAGGAAGGCTAGCCCCTGCTGAGGCCACAAAGCCTGCCAAGTTTCAAGGAGCTAGGTGCAGGGGTTCAGGGAAACTTCACCCCAAAGTCTTGAAAGCAAAACTTGTGTCACATGTGTATGTTAAGCCACAGTGAGGTCAAAACTGCAGGAAGGCTAGCCCCTGCTGAGGCCACAAAGCCTGCCAAGTTTCAAGAAGATCAGTGCAGGGGTTCTGGGGCCCTGCACCCCTAGCTGCTGACAGGTAAAACTCGTGACATGGGTGCTTGTGAGACTGCTGCCTCTCATCAGGCAGCAGGACTGAAGATCCCCCATCACTTGCCACCACAGACCTGGGGGTAATGATTGACCACATTATGAACATGAGCCAGCAGTGCGATGCTGTTGCCAGCAGGGCCAACAATACCCCGGCACGCATCAACTGATGCATCTCCAGCAAAGCCAGCCCCCTGCACCAAGCAGGAAAGACAGCCGGGGATCAGGTGACCCCAGCAAGGTGACTGTCTAGTCTCTGCTTGAAGATTTCCAGGGTAGGTGGTCGCACCACCTCTGGAGGGAGCTTATTCTACAGTCTGGACACCCTAGTTGTGAAGTAGTTTTTCCTAATGTTGAGCCTGAAACGATCTTCTAGGAGTTTGTGACCATTACTTCTAGCTTTCCCCAAGGGTGCCCTGGTGAACAGTTGTTCACTGAGCCCTAGATGTACACTTCTGATGTAGCAGGAAGCTGCTACCAAGTTCCCTTTCAGCCTTCTCTTTTTCAGACTGAAGAGTCCCAGGTCCCTCAGCCTTTCCTTATTTGGCTTGCTGTGCAAGTCTCTGATCATATGGCTAGCCCTTCTCTGGACTCTCTCAAGCTTTACCACATCCTTGTTAAGGTGTGGAGCCCAGAACTGGACATAATACTACAGTTGTGGTCTCACCAATGCCAAGTAGAGCCGAGTAGAGCAGGAGAATCACTTCTTTGCAATGGTTTTGCTGGAGATGCATCAGTTGATGCATGTCAGCATATTGTTGGCCCTGCTGGCTACAGCATCGTACTGGCGGCTCAAGTTCATACTGTGGTCAATTATTACCCCCAAGTCTGTGGTGGCAAGTGATGGAGGATCTTCAATCCCGCTGCCTGATGAGACGCAGCAGTTGCACAAGCACCCGTGTCATGAGTTTTGCCTGTCAGCAGCTAGAGGTGTGGGGCCCCAGAACCCCCCTGCACCTATCTTTGTGGTCGCAGCAGGGGCTAGCAGCCAGGCCTGCAGTAGTTTGCCAAACTCCTTGCACCTGTCTCCTTGAAACTTGGCAAGATCCATGCCCTCAGAAGGGGCTACCATTCCTGCAAGTTTCATCTGAATCAGGCCAGAAATGACAAAGTTATAGGCTGGTTCGACCTTCCCCATTATATCCTATGGGCAAAATGGCGAAACAGCGTTGAAACGGCGAAACGTTTTGACTCGCCTCATTTTGTTTCGAGGCTGTTTCAGTGATATCTTTTTCATTTTGATTTTGCTGTTTTGACCTTGAAGTGAGTCGAAACAGCATCGAAACAAAACTGGTGGTGAAATTTTGCACAGCCCTATAACACACCTAGGAGCTGCAGTTAGTGTTGTAGTCTCCATGAAAGAAAAGATTGGGGTAAACAAAGAGACACAGAAATGCTCATTTGGGAAGCTGAGCATTACTTTATTGTGATAAACTTGATGTATTTATGATACCTTCTTGTGCTCCAGAACTTCCTCATGAAGCTTCTCTTATTTCTACAAAGCTCTTCTAAACATTGACTTGCCCCAAACCTTCATTAGCCATCCAAAAACATATCCAATAAATATTCTTCTTGCCACATTCTCAGAACCCATCAGTCTCATTAAAAGTTTCCTTCTTTCTAAGTCAGCGGTCTTGGCCTCCCTTGGTGCTCTCCCAGGAGTGCAGCTTCTGATTACCCTCATAAAAGCCACAGTAATGATCTTTGTTGTAGTGGACCAGGTTTGGAACCATGTGTCCCTTTGGGAAAATAGTTCAACATTGCTTTAAACACGTTTCTGTCCTAGGAGTATCACTCTATTTCAGAACTGGAAACCTTTCTCATTTCCTGGTCTCTAATGTTACCTTTTGATGTTTCTCCCAGAGCTTGGCTGGCTCTGTCCTACCACCTTTTCTTTTTTTCTGTGACTCCTTTACAATATGCAAAGGATTATTTTCCACTCTCACACACACAAAATAGACAGTAAAATTGGAGGAGAAAGGCTGAAATGTTTTCCTTCACCAACCCAAAGGGAAAAGGTGCAAACATTCTTTGCTTCCTATTAACAAAGGAAATTCCAAGAGAATGAAAGCTCAAACTGTTCATGAGCAAAGCACTAGTTTTGTGGAGCTTCTTGGCAGCTTCAGATCAGAGTAATTTAGTTACTTACAGTTCTTTGAGCCATAATCAGTTAAAATACTAACTACAGCTCTTCATTCATCCTAAACTACCCTGGTGCTGTGTGAGTGCTACCACAAAGAAAAAATAATAATCTTGGGGAAGTATACTAGTAGCAGAAGTGGTTATGTGGGTTAAGAAATGTGGTTTTTGGTTTTTTGGGTGTGTTTTTTTTCAGAGTTATGTGCATTCTCCCCAAGCTGTGCATTCATGAATACTGTCTTTCTAGAATGACAACCAAGTGTAAATTTAAAAATGTCTATTTCATAGTGCATAATTTTCAAATGCACATAATTCTGGTAAATGAGAAATAATTTTTCTCAGACCACCAAAGCACAAACATATTGTTTCCTAAAGATATTGTCCATGTTATGCTTCATTTTTTTAAACTTCTGCTGTTTTTGATGTAGTCCTCTTCAAAAAATTCTAACCAGCCTTTTTTTCAGTGAGATTTTTCACCTTTGACACGCTTAAATATAGCTAATACCTTTTTAATTATTTTGTAGATAATTATTTACACACTATGGATGGAAAATTGAGATTCAGATGACTGTAACAGGGAACCCCTTTCCCTGTTAATAGGAAGACCTGAAAGGGTAGGAAACCAGGGCCAGGAAGGGCAGTAAGGAGTACAAGCCCAGGTGGACTGAGCCAGGGATTAAGGCCAGGGGCTAATGAAGCAATTAGCTGCACCTGGTTCCTGGGGGTAGGGGGCGGAGCCTTAGGGTTGTTAGGGCCCTGAGTAAGAGGGTCATTTGGGGCCTCTTAGAGGCTTAATTTTGATGAACAACTTCCTTGCAAAAACTTCACCCCCCAAAATTTAGGCCCCCTAAAGTATGGGGCCCCAGGCAGGGCCTGCCATTAAGGCAGGGCTGATACCGGGGAGCTCAGGCACTAATCAGTGGAGCAAGGTGGAGGGGGCAGCCAGAGAAAAAGGGGCAAGGCTGTGACGGGTGAAGCCTGGCTGAGCCCGCAGACATCTATGGGAGCACTCCCATAAAGCGGAAGTGCCAAGGGAGAGCAGAGGCCCCAGGTGGTGCTGGCCTAGCCAGACAGATAAGGCACCTGTGAGGCTACTCCTAGCCCCAGGGACCCTTCTCTCAACAACAAACAAAAAACATCAAAGTCGTGGTAGGCAAGAGCCAGGAGATGAGGTGGAACCTGGAAAGAGTTGGCAAGCAGGGTGAACCCATTTCCTCATGCGTTCTGCAGTGACCCTCTGCCAAATTTCACTAAGCTGACTGCTGCCCACAGACTGGCTCCTTGGCACCTCCTCAAAACTCTTCCTTCCTACAATGTGTTATTTGTCCCTTCAAAACCTGTGCTTCACAAGTACCACATTATAGGAAGGAAAAGTTTTGAGGAGGCACCAAGGAGCCAGTCTGTGCACATGTGGAAAGACTGAGACTTGTAGTTTCAGCATTGCTAAAATAGTTACCTTAATAAAAAGCTAGTTTAGTTTTAGAAGTTTGTTGTTACCTAGCAAATGGTACATGTAATATGAAGGCAGCAGTCAGATTACTGAGACCCAGGACAAGGAGGAGGATGCAGACAGACCAAGCATCATCTAGAAACAGAACAAACAGGAAGCATAGAGGAACTCAGACTACCAAGGCTACTGGATTTTCAAACAAAAAAAAAATCTTGCACAGGTCTGAAAGCAGTTCATGTAAGAACTGAATAATGTAGACCTAAAATTCTCCAGTTCTGTGTTGTAGAGTCTAAAGCAACATTGGATTTTATTTCATATACCATTTAACTTTTCCTGGGTCCATCACAGACTGAACTTAACCAGCCTTGGGCAGCAAATCAATAACTTAAATAGTCCAGGTTCTTTGTTGTGAAATATAAGTTGAAATTCCTTTAGGAGAAGTGAGTCTGCATGCCTTCTCTTCTCTATGATTCATCAGAGAAGTGTTTAAAAACTTAAGCAAAATTTGAAATTTTGCTTCATTGACAGAAATTATGAAAGAAGATACACATTTCATTGAGTGAAACCAGCATGCTCTGCCATAGCAATCTTGAATTCTGTATCCATTACTCACAGACATCATCTTGCTTTTGTGTCGTCCAGAGAACACCATGTCTGAAAACATGCGATGCTTAGGCAAAATGGGAATAGTAAATGACAGATTAAAATCAAAAGTCCATTTTGGTTTACTTGCCAGTCTGAAAGTGAGAAATCTTTCTTTTCCCTTGCTTTTTAAGAGATGCTGACTTCCCTGATGGTAAATCAGAGCTTGGTACAGAAGGTATAATCCTCAGTGAAGTTCTTTTCAATGTCTGGGGGACACTTCTTCCTAAAATTTAACTTGTTGAATTCTTCTCTGATTTCCATGACAGATTTTCCCTTTGTTTCTGGAAGGAACAAGTAGATAGAAATCCCTGAGATGAAAAGAGCTCCCATAAAGATAAGGAAACAGAATGGGCCAAGGTTCTCCTGGAACAAAGAAAAAAAGAAAGAAAGATGACTATATTCTCTGACTTTTCAACATCTGCAGTGTCATTTTTGGATCTTTGGACTCAATAATTTAAAGATAAAGCATTTATGTTTTGATCTTTGGCGTATGCTCTTTGAGCTGGTTTCAAATTCAATCTCCAGATCAAATACACCACCTTTAATATAAGTGCCCTCCATAGTGTGTGCGCCAAAAAGTTTCGGGTTGACATGATATTGTAGTCTATTGCTTTTTCTTTGTCCCTTTTCCCACTTGGTTGACAGGGTCCAATATTGTTTGGAATTGGGAGCAGTTGGGAAATGTTCCAGTTTGTGTCACTTACCACAATAAATGGGAAAATCATGCCAATCACAAAGAGTCCTGTCCAGTTGAGAGACCCACCGATTACAAAGGCGGGTGGTCTGGATGACTGGTCAAAGATTTCAACCCTAATGGATGCTGTAGCACCAGCTGAAAGGAAGACGAGACATAAATAAGCACTACATTCTGTGTTGATTTTAGTTATTTTGGTTCCCTTCTCTTTCCCCTGTCTCTTCTCTCTACCACCCTGTGACAAAATCCCCAACAAATTGTGTTGGTGAAAGTAGAGAACAACAGTATCATTAATTTCAAGGCCAAGGTAAAAGTTTGGATAAGTTGTAGGCTGTGTATGGAGTGGAAAGCTAGGACGTTTGAGCTCTAATTTCTTCTCTGCTGAATTGCTGTATGCCTGTGGGCCAGTCACTGAGGCACCAGTGTAGCAAGCACTGTTGTAATCTCATCTAGGTCATAGGACATACTGTACTTGGAAGTTAGGTAATCCTTAATACATTACTGAATTAAGGGTTTAAATCTCCCTGCCTTGGTTTTCAGTGAATGTTGTCCTAAGAGAACTAGCAAATATGCACAGATAGGACGTATTGGTATTTGAGAGAGTATGGCATTTCTCCACATCTAGAAGAGGAAATGTCTGTTGTGTCATGCTACCATATGGCAGAAGTTGACATTTTTAATCATTCTTTAATTAACTCACTAGAAAAATGCAAGTATTAATTAGCAATTGCTTTGGGGACTCTGAGGTCCTGGCATAAGAGATTCTGATTGAAAGTCCCAGGTCTTTTGTTGTTACAAGTGCAGAAGCCTGCATTTTTAATAACCCAATGTAGTGTATATAGCACTATTAGGCTACACCTATACTAGAGATAGGTAAGTTCTATAGAATTTAGGTTTCAGTAATGTTTCATACTATGTTTTTAGTAGGGTTATGTGAAATTTTGCCCAGCATTTTGTTTCAAAGCTGTTTTGATGCTTTTTGAGCTCAAAAGAGCGAAATCAAAATGAAACAAAGCCTTCAAAACAGCTTCAAAATGAAACAAGAGAACTCAAAATATTTTGACTTCCTGGCTTCAGCACTGGTCCCAGATGGCAGCACTCACCTCCTCTCATCTGGCAGGCAGATTGCAATCTCGCCTGCACCCCTGGGAGGGCTGCGGGGGCTGTGCCAGTGTCCTCCTGCGGCTGTGGGCCCCTGATCTGCCTGCCAGATGACAGACCGGCGCTAGGTGTGGCTTGTACCCAGTACCAGAAAAATCAGTGCTGTCGCTGGTCCCAGGTGGCAGCACCTGGCTGCCTCCTGTCATTCGGCAGGCAGATTGGGGGCCTGCACCCCCGGGAGGACTCCAGCACAGCTCCTGCAGCCCTCCCAGGCGTCCCGGTGGGTCCCCTATCTGTCTGCTGGATGACAAGAGACTGGTTCTGCTGCCTGGGGCCAGTGGCAGCCAGGGCCATCCCAGGGGGGGTGCGAATTGGGGTGATTGCCCCAGGCCCCATGCTTTGGGGGGCCCTGTGGAACCAGCTGGAGTGGCCATGGGGACTTTGCACCACAGCCACCGCCACTGGCTTCACATCTGGCCATTTGCTACCCCCCCATGGCACCACCACTGATGGTGGCAGTTTCTTTACATCCAGGGCTCATGGAATCGGAGCCGGGCAGGTCCCTGCACAAACTGATTTGCCCTGGGCCCCACACCTTCCTCGGGTCTGCTCTGGCAGCACCAATTGGGCTGCTGCCAAAGCCGACCTGAGGATGGGTGCGGGGCTCGGGGTATATCAGTTCATGCGGAGACCTGCCCCCGGCCCGATCTCGTGTACCCTGGATGCGAAGAAGCTGCCGCCAAACTGATTTACCCCGGGCCCCACACCCTCCTCGGGTCCGCTCTGGCAGCACCAATTGGGCTGCTGCCAGAGCTGACCTGAGGAGGGTGCAGGGCTCGGAGCAAATCAGTTTGTGTGGGGACCTGCTTCTGCCCCGATCCTGTGTGCCCTGAATGCAAAGAAGCCGCTGCTGCCATATTTTCCCCCTTCCTTCTGGCCTCTTTTTGGTCTCATTTAAGCCCAGTAACATTCTAAGTGTGTGTCAGTTTATTGAATTCAAGATTTTTCAAGCGAGTTCCAATTTAGGTGAAATGAGTTTGTCTGTGACTAATATTATGCAGCGTGCAAGGCCAATACTTGCTTCAAACAGTGCATTAAGTGTGCCAGAACTGTGTCAAAGATAGGGGCCGCAGGCTGGATCTGGCCTGCAGAGCCCTACCATCTGACCTCTGGTGCTGCCTGTGGGTCTCAAGTGGACCCATATGCAGAAGGTGGGATGCACTGGATGGCCTCATACACTGCACACTGCACCCACTCTGGCTGCTCTGGAATTGTGCCCCCATCCTGTATTCATCTACATAGTGCCTGCTCCAGCACATGTTCTGGAGCAGTCAGGGCAGGTGCTGCATACAGCACAGTCTTGGAGTAGGTGCCATGTGCAGTGCAGTCCCAGACCAGCTGTTTCTGGTGCACATGCCACACATGGTGCCCACCCTGGGACATGCACTGGATTTGGCATGCAGTGGATGTGCATGGGAACAGGCACTGCATTCGACAGGGTCCCAGAGCAATGGACAGTGGGTAGGCACTGCTGCCACTTTTATCAGCAGCAGGAGGGGAAAAGTGTCCACTGCCATTGCTTTTTCTCCACAGCAGCAGGGGAAAGTGACTGCTGCCAAAGCTCCCCTGCCACTGAATGCCACCAGAGTTATATGTCTGCAGGCTGGATCAAATGGGTCTGTGGGCTGAATCCAGCCCTTGGGCTGGAGGTTGCCAACCCGTGGTATAAGATGTCTATTCTCCCCACCCCCCAGCCATGTTGATATAGTTAGGTAGTATGTTTTTTTTCTCTTGTATGAAGGAATTATTTACCTGGCCCAATTGCGAAACAACTCACATATATGATAATCAAACCGAGGCTGCAATATGGCACCCAGAAGAACCAATCCTAAGGGAGAAAACAAGTTTTAGGATGTAGAGGCACTTCCTATTTTCTGCTGAAGACCTCTCAAGTAAAGTACAATGCACTTGACTGGTAAATGTAGGATTTTGTGATTGTGGGAGGCATGGGAAAGTGTTCATTAGATGAGTGCAGGACAGGAGAAAGAGGTTTGATAGCATAGAGCAATTGCAGACTTCAGAAGCTTTAGGTTGGAAATGGTCTGAGAAGGCATTTCCCTTTTACTTTGGCCTCCCCTTAACTTTTAGAAATATGAGGTATGCCAATTTTCTTCTTGCCTGTTTTTGTTGGATGGCATCTAGAATAACTCATGTAGAATGGGAACCATCTCAGGCCTTGCCTGAAGGGGTAAGGGTCTTGAGCACCGGGGAGCTGGGCAGGGGAAAGACTGGCAACCCCTTCTTACACCACCTTT